GTCCAGAGTTGCACAAATTGGAAAATAAAATTGTCTTCTGAGCTTTTTTGCTTTTTTTAGAACTCTACTAAAAGGACAAGAATAAATGGGAACATTCATTTGCTTTTTAAACTGATCACACTTGGGCTTAACCACTAGCAGAGAAGAAACTTTACAGTTCCCTGGGAACCTATAATTTGGAAACGGAAGCACACAAGAACAGACTTTAGTTTTCAGGCAATAAATTGAAGAGAATTCTGCAGACATACAACAGAAAAGGAGCATAAAATATTGGCTTGTGCACTTCTTAGAATGTTAGTTCATTAACTTGATAAGCTGCACAGGGAAAAATGCAGCCAAAATCTACAAAGATGTCCACTGGGATTTCACATTGGCATATTTACTCAGCAAGAAATAGCTAGAGGTTGGAGGGGGAAATATGCATCCCGTCCTGGTAGAGACGATTTAGTGTGAATCTCCGGGAAGACACCTTGTTGAAAAATCTCCATGTGGACTCTAAGGGGACACACGGAAGCCCAAAGCCCCACGGACAGACGTAAATATCATGCTCCATCATCTGTGTCCTGGGGAACAGGTCTACGATATTATACAAGAAAATCACAGTCTTTCACATTGACTTTTCACACATAATTCAGCATAAACTTGAAAAATATTTTAATTTTCCCTCCTTATTGCCCAAAATGTTTTTTAGTGCTTTATTGGAAACTTTCATTCACTGGCGTGTGCTCAAGATCTGTATTACTCATCAGTATAAAATCGTTAACAAAGGATTTGTCAGGCGATACTTCCAATGGGCACTGTCTTCTATGGTTAGAAGCTCATTAGCTGTCTCCCTGGGAGAAAACCCTAATAACTGAACCCCATGTGGGTCAGATCTGTGCTAGGCTCTTTCATAAACTTCATCTTATTTGAACCATCCAGGAGGGTACTAATTGTAATCCCCACTTACAGATTAAAAAGGTGAGGGTCAGAGAGATTCCCTGCCTTGCTCAAGTAATTACATAGTCTCAAACTAAGGTACTTCAGACAAAAGAAAGAACTCAGGACAAACGCACTAAACTGCCATCTCTCTTTGGTGGGTCGCGTTGGGCCAGCTCTTTATTTACAGTAGGAACAGAGTGCCAGGCTGTGCAAGAGATGCTACACACCAGGGGTCAGTTCACCTGCACGTGTGCTTCACTGGACCCACGGAGTGTTTAAAGCCATTGAACCAACTTTCTAAAATCCACAGATTTCATGTAAAGATTCACACGTTATGGCAACCAGAAGGCCCCTTGACTCTAGGGCCACCTTCATGGCAGCAGTCAGCCAAAACTCGGTGGTCCCATGCCTTCTGATGAGGCATGGACTCACAGTGCCCACCACTCTCTATTACATCCCTACACACAGGCCATGGCAGCAGAAATTTTTATTAGGTTTATGTTCTTGCTTTCCTTATAAAGGAGAGCCATTTCTCCAAATCATGTATGTCTCTTTCGACAGACCGCATGGCTGCCTTGCCCCTTTCCCTTTACTATGTCCTCTTTGTGGGAAGAGTGCACTTCCCCAATCCTGTGTCTCCAATTCTCATACCAACTGGTTGAATCTCTTCAATCTTCCTTTGGGACACGATCCAAAAGCCATTATTGTTTCCAGCAATGCTCGGCCTTAGATTTTTCTGGATGTAATATCTATTTGGCTGAATCATGAAGTCAGAGTATCCAACCATTACAAAATACTGGTGTAGAAAAAAAAACAAATTTTGTAAGTGCCAATCACACAACCATCAGCTAATCAACCAACCAATCAACCAACCAAGTAAACCAGATGCCAGGTGACTGAAACCTAAAGGGCTTAACAGGCTAACTTATAAACAGGAAGCACTTAAAACAACAGCAGTATAAAAAAACAAAGTGCCCCCAGAAAGGAAAGTTCTGCCTTCAGAAGGCAGTAATTGCTGCATCTGAGTACATCTGCTTAACAATCCAGGAAAGTGGGAGTTTTACTCTCTATTAACCTTAACCAGAGACATTTTCATCAAAATTAATCGTGATTACTTTTTATTGCATTTCAAATGCTGTCCGTTATTTGGGGTGGTCAGGAATGCAACTAAGCAATTCCAGACCAGGCTATCTTTTATGAATAAGTCTATGAGGTAGTTACTAAGGCCCCTTATGAAAATATTGCTATACAAAAGTTCATGGGTCAAAACAAGACATTAATTTCCATAACTGGATGTGTCCTTAGAAAAGAAAAAATGACTATTTATAGAAAAAACAGAAACTTTGATGCTCAATGCATATCACAGCAGAACTGCATAATTCCCATGTGCAGCATAGATACTTTTAAAATGTTTCTTTTATCTTTTCTTTGTTATTATAATAACAATTAAAAATAGAAAAAGAAAAAAGAAAACAAAAAAACACTCTATCATTAACACTTATTTTGAGTATAGCTTGTATCAAGTACAATCCTAAATTTTTATATGCATTGACACTTTATTTTTATTTATTATTATTTTTTAATCCTCACCTGAGGATATGCTTATTGATTTTAGGGAGAGGAGAACACAGAGAGAGTGAGAGAGAAACATCATCTGAGTGAGTATATCGATTGGTTGCTTTCCATATGGGCCCTGACCAGGAATCGAACCCGCAACCTAGGTATGTGCCCTGATGGGGAATGGACCCCACAACCTTTTAGTGTAAAGATGATGCTCCAACCAACTAAGCCACACGGGCCAGAGCTGCATTGACACTTTAATCCTCACAACTCTGGAGTAGATGCAATTATTATTCCCATTTTACAGATAAACTGGTCTTAGGGAAGTTATATAACCTGCCCAAGGACATTCAGCTAGTACATTTTGAAACTTGGAACGAATCCTGGACATTCTAGCTCCACAGTTAGATAAAGAAATCTAGCAACAACACTTATCTCACTGTCACAAGGATCAACTGGCCTGTAATGTTTTGTGCCCTGACTGTATCTTGCTCTGTGCAAACTGTGTACCTGCCTGGAGGGCCTTCCCTACTGCTCTCTCCCTCCCATGTCAAACTCATTCCATCTCAGTCCTACTTCTCTCCAAAGTTTTCTTGCCCTCCTCTCTTAATTCTCCAGAACCCTCACCATATCCACAATCTCCCCATATGACACTGATATGAAAAAAAACAAAGGTGGCTTTGGCTGCCCAGCACCCCTTTTGGTAACAGAACTCGCTTTCTTGTGGGAAATCACCTGTCCCCACTCTCAGCCCATGGGCTTTGGGTAAGGCTACCCCCTGTTCTCAAGATGAGGTCATCACATGATCTGATCCTGGCTTGGCCAATTCATGTGTGTTATCAGCCTTTGAACTTTGTCTAGAACTACTAAGAAAAGACTTTTCTCCTTCCCCTGGGGTGACAGCACTCACAGACTCTGTGTTGGCTGCTGGTGGCCATCATTGGCATCACTGTGGACCGCCTTCCTGAGAATCAAGGCAACGAAGAACAATGGCCACCTGTGAGTAGGATAAAGTCGGATTCCTGATGCCATAGTCTGCAACTAGGAGCCCTGACTAACCCAGTTGACATAAGAATTAAACAGCTTCTATAAAGTAAGTAGCACAGAACCCAGTATATGGAAAAGTTTAATAAATGGTACCTAATCCTGTTAATACTTCTCTACATTAGTTTCTTGAAGATGGAAGACCTGGAGTCAGGTTCATCTCCACTCCATGCTAGATGTCATTTCATTACTTTTCTGAGACTAGTTTTACCATATGTAAAATCACCATTTTTGTGAAGAATAAATGAGACTATGTGCCTGGCAAGGCAATAAAATGTTCTACAAATTTAAGTTAACTCCTAGGATATTCTCAGTCTGTAGGCTCCAATCTGACGTCTCATAACTCATAGGGTAAAGAATTACAAATCCCTGGGATGTAATTTGCCAAGAACATTGAGGAAGCTGTGGATTTAAACAAGTGACCAGTCCATGCTAACTAAGGTGGTCCCAGGGCTGAACAAAGAAGCTGATTCTAATACTGTGCTATCCAAATCAGGCATCAGTGCAAGGAGGCTTGACGGGCAATCTTCAGGCACCTCCTGGACACAGAGAGAAAAGAAACTACTACTAAGTCATCCCCTCATGCCAGTCTCAGTGCAGGGCATGTTCTTGCATTTCTTACTCCAGAATAATTTATTTCTCTTTGGTTCAATTAAAAAGAACAATTTTATGTACATATTGAAATTATCTAACTTCTTCTATCTCCAAGGAGGAAACCTAATATATAACTGGAGAGAGACATTAATTAATAAGCAAAATTTAAAATGAACTCCGGCCAACTTGAACTTGAACTGCTCTGTTTAAAGGCCCACAAATAAATAAAGGAACTTCAAAGCAAATGCCCTGGGCTAGCTTGAATGTTTTATTGAGCACATGGAGAGAGCCCCTTTGCCAAAAATAGGAATGGTTAATGAGGAAAAATGGGTGTCTTCAGTGGGTCCACTGGTTTCTGAGAGCCATCCATTCAGAGATAACTATATTCCACTGAGAAGACAGAATAATGACCTGTCTCGGGGCCTCAGAGTTTTAGGCAAAACAAAACCAGTTTTATAAACTCTCTGAGATCAACTTCCTGCATCTTTTCCCAAATACCTTCTGTGATAATAGGCACACATTTCCCTTCTCCTAAAACCAAAGCAACTTCCATAATTCTAAAAGGAAGACATTTCTACGTTTTAAGCTTCTTGCCAACTATATAAATGCAGCCCTTCGCATTTAAGGTAAAGTACACGAACCAAGAGAACCTGTGAGGCATCAGTGGGCTCTCCCATAATCGGCTTTTCTTGGACACCATTTTGAAATGATGCTCCTCACTACAGAGACCTCCGGGTCCCCCGGGGGTACGTGGTTAGTGCTGGATTCAGGGCAGAGGCACGCCCACGGCTTCTGCGCACATTTTCCCACAGTAGTGGCTACGTGTCAGAGCAAGTGGACCTCCCACTATTCAGGCAAGAAGAGGAAAAGCCTGGGCTCACCTGCAGGTGCTGGGAGGGGTCAGCCATGCTATCTTCCCGCCGGCGCACTTCCTCCAGGAGCTGGGCGTTCTTCTTCTTTTCCAGCTGCTGGTTGTGCTTGAGGTTGGCCACCTTCTTATTCTGATCCTTCATATGCCTGAGGAAAGTCAGCACAGCTGGGTTAATTCAACCCCTCAAGGTCGTACGTGATCATAATGGAAGCGCTAAGTACAAACCCGTATTGATATGGGTTCAGGGAGAGTTGGGACTTCAGAATATTCTATTCATTCAACCACACGTAGGTATGGAGCACCTACTTCATGCCAGGGACCAGGAGGGCACTGGGGCTGCAGTGGTGAATAAAACAGGGATAGTCTCCACCCTCCTCATGGAGCTTAGAGTCCAGTAGAGGAGACAGACAATACCAAGGAGACACAACTTAGGTTTCCTAATGTTGAAGGAAACACAGAGCATGTTGTGAGAGATGATGTGCCTTGCATGTGTGGAAAGGCAGGAGGTAGAGCAGATGGCTTTAGTCACTGTGTCCAGGAAACCTCCCTAAGGAAACAAGACTGTGAGTGAGACTCAGAAGAACCAGCCAAGAAAACACCTGGGAAGGAGCCCCCAGGTAGAGAGAACAGCAAGTATAATTCCCAAGGCAGGAAAGGACCTGGCTACTTTTAAGAACTGGAAGACTGCAGGGAGTAAGTAATGGGGTGGGGTGGGGTAGGCGATGGAACTGCAAAGGTAGGCAGGACTCATGGTATGCTGGGCCCTAAGGTCTGTGATGGAACATTTATTTTCTCCTAATTAAGTGCTTGCTGTTCTAATTATTATTATTCTTTTGGATCAGGTTCTATTCTGAGATCATAATCCATTACTTTGATTTTAAAATAACAATTACAAGGCTCCAATCAAATACATTGTCATCACTTAGCTCAAACAGAATAACACTTTGGCTAATCATCATGCTAAATAAGCCCCAGTGCTTGGACCAAAAAGTTCTCAATGAATCTATAGGATGTCAAAGTGCAAAATCATAAAGTGATCAAGTGAGAGTAAAAGACTAAGGATAAAGGACGGGTTAAAATAAAGCAGGGGAGGGGGCAGTTACAGGCGTAATGTGGCCTATTTCACCAGCAGCGTTTAGCAAAACATTCCACAGGTTTAGGCAACCATGTCCACGGCAGCTGTTATAAATCTAATCCAACATGTGAGGAGGCAGGAGGGCCGTCCAGAGGGCTCAGGAGCAGCGATTCCAAAGTTGGAGGGCCGTGGAGCAGAACCATCGGGGGAACTTTTAATCCCTTCGCCCACTCTCCCCTGCCTTGCTAATGGGCCACTGTTACTGAGCCCCGAGTCCCAAACAAGTGTATTGAGAACCACTTCTCTTATGGAAGTATGGGTGAGATGAGAACTAGATGATAAACAACAAACAGGCCCAAATGAAACAACTAATAATCAAATGGAAGCATTCTCAACAAGAAACTCTTATTTCTAGTGCTCATTAAATTATAGACGTGTCTATTTCCACCTACTCCAAGAAAAAGAAATTCAAGAGAATTATTTTTGAGCTTAAAAATCTTCTATTAGGGGCCCTGCTAATAAAAATATTCTGAACCAACTAAATATTTGGCTCAGTTGGTTCAGAATATTTATAGATTTAAATATTCCTTGTGATATTTATTAAGAGGATATAAGTATATAAGGTAAGATAGAATAACCATCCCCTTCATCATTATTTGGATTGGATTATTTCGGTCTCATATTTCCCTGTTTTAACCAGATACAGTAATGTACACATATGATGCTACCAGCAAAGGCTACATGCTAATCTACTTTTAGGAGAGTATCGTTTGGTTACTACAGAGATGTTAAGAATGACCACTTGCTTCCTAAATGAACAGAGGTATAGCAGTTCCAAAGCGCATAATAACCCAGAGCAAGTACAATTCCTAGTTCCTTGGAAGACAAGGCCAGTGCACGGTAATAGGACGTGAGGGAGAGGTCAGTATTACTAGTGAGATTGTTTAATTAGAGGGCATGTTTTATAAAGAAATACTTTTTTATTACTTTGAAGTAAACCCTTAAATAGAACTAACTGCTAAACGTTTCCCCCCAAGTACCAGTGATAAATAAAACAGATTATAATTGCAAGCATCATTTTGCAAACATCACTTAGGGAACTCCCACAAAGTTCCCAAGAAGACCTTGCTTTCTGGGATACTGCAGGGGTTTTTCAATCCAAAAAGAAGAAAACATTCCAAATCCATGCACCCCTTAAAACGGTCCAGAATTAAGAATGAGCAGCAATCAACTCGTGCTATATAATTTAATACAGGAAAATATACAATTTTAGATGCACAGTTCAATGAGCTCTGACAGATGTATGATACCCATGTAATTACCACCATAATCAAGATATGGAGCCTTTGCATCACCCCATGAGTTTCCCTGTGCCCTTTCACAATTAACCCCCTGCCACCACCCAGGCTTGGCAACCACTAATCTGTTCCTATAGATGAATGGAACCACACAGTATGGACCAATTTGTGTCTGCCTTATTTCACTCAGATTGATGTTTTGATTATTACTGATTAACAATGCAGTTGTCAGCATCAGTAGTTAGTCCATTTTTGTTGCTGAGTAGTATTCCATACATGGTTACTCTACAGTTTGTTTAACCATTCATATGTTGATCAATATTTGGGGGTTTTCCAGGTTTCTAGCTATTAAAGTAAAACTTCTATGAACACTAAAAAGAAAATAGAATGGGTAGCTAAGAACAATGGAAACTGAAGTTCAGACACTGTGATGGAGGCATATCTTCAGTCGTCTCCAACTATTCCTTCAAATACCACCTTATTTAAGACACTAGCAATTGGAAAAGAAAAGTAGGGTTTTAAATGGCACAACTTAGGATTTGGGCCAATAAGATCTATGCAGAATAAGGTGATGAGGATGATCATCTTGTCTTTGTACATGTGAATATCAAGAGATACATGTAAAGTGTCCATAACTTCTTTGTAGGATGACTAGGGTTTTCATATATTTTTCTAGCAATAGAACCCTTTCTTCTAAGAAAAGCTTACTTGAAAGCCAGAAAGAGAAAGAAGAACTGCTCTGCCAGAGGTAGGAAGGAGGGAAGGAGTGGAGTGGGATGGGAAGAGATGAGCACCTCATCCACCGGACAGTTCCCCTCTCAGATGCTCCTCCGGGAAGCTAAGGCAAGCTGTGGGGTAGGAAGGGAGAGTAGGAGGCAGGTAGAAAAAGTCATAACGTTTAAAAATATTATATCCCTTGGAGAAGAGAAAATACCCCCACACAAGCTCACTAGACACTTGTTGAAGGAATCACCACAGTGATTCTTGCTAATAGTAACTTCAGCATTTCCAAGAGTAAGATGTGTAAGTGGCCTATCAGTCCCCACACTTTCCCCACCTGCAGAAGTAAACACACACCGCATAAGTCATGCCGCACTCCGCATGGCTCTCAATGGTCTCTAAAACTCTGTGGGAGTGCAAACCACCAGCCCTCTGACAGTACTGCCTGAGAAGAAAGTGTCTCTGATACCAGCTTCCCCAACTCCCACCCCCTTTCCCCCCAGGCAACTCAGGTTCCAAGACCACCAGAGACTGACCTGCTCCATGTCTGGGGGAAAAGTCATTTTGGAGTGATTTTTTTTTTCTCTCCAGGAAAACAGCATTAAAATATATCAAAAATCCAAGTTTTTTTAAAAAGCAATCATGGGGGTGTAGTTTGAGAGTACAGTGGTATGGCCAGTTTTTAATGTTTGCTTTAAATTGACCAGTCTCATTAAGCAAGTCATGTCACTTTTCTTGTTTTTAATGTTTTTATTGATTTTAGAGAGAGAGGAAGGAAGAGGGAGAGACAGAAACAATGATGAGAGAGAAACATCCATTGGCTGACTCTTTCATGCCCCTAGTGGGAATTTCCCAAAACTTGGGCATGTGTCCTGACCAGGAATCGAACTGGTGACCTCTTGGTGCATGGCATGACACTCAACCACTGAGCCACACCAGCCAGGCAAGTCATGTCACTTTTCAAATTCAGCCATCATTAAGGAATTTGGATTAAATAAAAAAAAATTCCAGCAGGTATCTAGATCAACAATGGCTACTATATTAAGAATGAATGTCGGTTCTGGTTGGGTAATTAAGTTGGGTGGAGCATCAACCTGATATGCCAAGGTTGCAGGTTTGACCCCTGATCAGGGAACATACAAGAATTAACCAATAAATGCATAAATAAGTGGAATGATAAAATGAATCTACCTCTCTCTCTTTCTCCCCCCAGCTTCCTCCCTCTCTATAAAATCAACAGATAAAATTTAAAAAAAAAAAAGAATGTCAGAGAGGACAGACTCCTGCTAGTTTCACTTGAATAATCCATCAAAGTAAAATCAGAACGTGTTCTCTAACTTGCTGGTGAGAGCTGGTCAGGCCTCTAGAATCACAGGGCTGGGGTATGGGCTGGGAGATACATATGTTTCTCCAAAAATGTATGTTTATTTGTATAGAAAAGAGAAAACAAAACCTTCTCTTCCTTTAAAATCTCAGCAGAAATCAGATGCCATTTTTTACCCATCTGCTCTCGAAAACTTGAAATGATGGATAATATCCATTGTTAAAGAGGACGCCAGAATCCAGAGCTCTCATCTGTGGTCAGCAGGAGTGTAATTGACAAAGGCATTTTTGGAAACCAATTTGGCAGGATCCACCAAAGTGCACAGACACTTTGCCCAAGCAAACCCACTTCTAGGACAGTAGCCTACAAAAATGCTTGTCCAAATATATATGTACAAAAATTTTCATTACAGCGCTACAAAAGTGAAAATTTGAAAACTGCCTCATCACCCACAAGGAACCTGGCTGAGACCGAGTACATGCGCACCATGGAACCCTGAGCTAGCTGAGGAATGAAGGCAAAACTGAGATGTGGAAATGGAAAAGCCTTCAAGACATAGTGTCAACTGAAAAAGAAAACAGGCAGCAGAATAATACCTATGGCTGATGTTGTTTATCATAAAACATGAAAGCCTGTTTGATGGATATATACAAACATGCCTGGACACGGAAACTCCTAGACACCCCTCACCAGTCTGTAAACGATGGTTCCCTTTGAGTAAGGGAATGG